TCATTGAAAAACCTTATTGCCCAAATGGATTTGCTGCTGCTATTCTTCATGCTTATAACTATCATAAACATTTACGTTTAAATCTTGATGATGTTTGGCTTACAGTTTCACAAGGTATTAGTCATCATATTAATTATAATCCTGAGAAATTTCGTAATATATTCATTCGATATGAAGGAAAGGAAAAGATTGCTATTTATGCTGGTGATATTTTATCTAATAATTATAAAGATGATTGGCCTGAATTTGTAAATAGACTTGTTATGAAGACTGATAGTCACATCGAAAAAATCAATTTAATGGGTTTATTAGAATGCAATTTTTCGAAAACTACTCCAACATCCTTAATAGTTAGTCATATTGTATTATTAGATGCCGTTAAAGCTTATTTTGAGTATGAAGGTAATACTCTTTGTGAATTCCAAAAGTTACACTCGAAGAAACCCTTGAAGATTTGATGGAACTTCAAGAAAAGGTCATTAATTTAAGAGAATTAAATTTAGAATTAGATTTTTGGTTAGATCGTTTTGAACCTGTCTTAAGGAATTTAGTTGCTACTTATCATAGTAAAATTAATCATGATTTTTGGGGTAGAATTATAAAGATTTATGAAATACTGTACATGGTTCTTTGTTTTCTTTAATAAGGTCTTCTTTAGAGTAATTATTTTTTCTGAAGTTATATTTAGTAGACATGTAAAGAAATTTGTAAAAATTTATCAGATCAAAACAGAAGTGCTTTTATAGGTACTAAATTATTGGTACTTTGGGAGTGATCAAAACAGTAGTACTTTTTATAGTTGCTAAATTTTTAGTACTTTACGAGTGTGATCAAAACATTACCAAATTTGGGAAACAGAGAAAACCATCCCGACATTTGTTTGATTGGCAATTGCCCAAGTAACTTATTTATATACTTTTTGATAAATGTAATGTTTTACTAATAAAAAATCAGCATAGCGGGCATTAATTCTGATTGGTCAATTGCTAAATGTATCGTCATATATTACACTACATATATCATCTGACTTTAAAAGAAAAAATAATCAGGAAAATGGAGAAATAATCTAGAAGTTAGCAACAGGTGCACTTTTTGTCTTATAGGTTAAGGTAATTCAGCATTTGGCAAAGTAATTTGTATCTTGGCTAATAAGTGTTAAGCTTTTTAAAAAAAAACTTGAAAATAACGATTTAAACAACAATACTTACAGTTAGTTTTTTTTTAATAATTTTTTTGAATATAGGTAACTTGAATAAGTTTTTAAAGGCTACAATATATTAGATATAGAGTATATAGAGTTTGCGAAGGATATGACGATTAAATCTATGTTCTATCGCTAATGTTCTATAGTTAATGTTTGGCTTTTTGTACCGTTTATACTCTCCATGTGTGTATATTACATTATTGACAATTGACGGTTTTTTTAATTTATAGTTAGTAGGCGATTTGGTTAATAAAGATTATTTATATATGTATTTAAGAAATTATTAGTTTAAAGATTTTGCTTTTTTTATTTG